AATGTACAAAACTATTAAGTGATAAAGCCTATTATGACCTACAAGAATATTTTGACGATGCGCTGTAATTTCGAATGTGATGAAACTGCGATTGTACTGTGTGTGAAACACATATTTTTATTCGTTGTCCTAGTTCTTGTGATGTAACCTTTGCATAAGTATGTATATATAGTTTATATTTTATTTTAATCATTTATATTTTATACACTTATACTTCACATCTTATACTTCATGTTTATATTGATATTTATTTATGACATTGTGTTTGTAACAAGAATTTATTCTTAAACAATAAACATATTATCAATATTATCAATAAAATGAACACTGTCATCCTCACTAGTAGACATCGATGTTTCGTCGTAAGACACTTGCCTTAGGACTCTTCAGTACCAAATTGGATAACATTATAGAAAATACACACAATTCATTCATGAATTAGGATTTTTAATGTCACGGAATAAGTTTAATCTACTATGTCATCGATGACATCGTAATGACATTCATTCACCTATTTGATTAAATCCTTTCTTTGGAAGATTTCCACATTTTTTGTATCAAGATGGAGTAGTAGAAGGCCAAAAACTTTCTTTCCCAAAAAGTAATCACTCCTAAAAATATAAACCCTTCAATTCAAAAATTTAAAAAATGATTTTTCTATTCTAGTCTTGTTGTATAGCCCACAAAATTAGCCAAAAAATAGACCTACTCCGAGTGTTCTAGAAATAGAAGTCATCTTTCACAAATTCAAAATTTACCCGATGAACTTTTGAAAAATTATAAATTACTAGTATTTGTTAGGGCTACAAAAATATCAGAAAAATCAGGTGTGAAGATATGAAACCAACAAGACAACTGTTACATTTCATGAAGGACTTTGAATTTGTTTTGTTATTTGAAATGTATCAAGATCGCCCAATCTAATGGCGTCATTTAGCTGATCATACATTNTTGTGACTTACACCTATACAAACTCAACCAAATAAGTGCAACCCCTTAATGAAGCCAATTACTATAATTGGTGAGAAATATTTTAGGTCAGCTGACTCTAGAAAACACTGAAAAGATGATGTGTTTTGGTACATACAAAAGCAAGGGCTTCTAGGTGCTGTAATTGTAGGATTATTATTTGATATGAAGTTGAATTTTGTGAATCCAATAAAAAACTAACGAAAAGATAATTCAATTTCAAATTCTGTTTTACAGTTAACCTGCTAATGCCCCATTATGAACAACAACCCTTAGATCAACCCTGAATCAGGATGTTTGACATTTTCTTGTACTACTACATAAATGTAACAAAAAGGCAAAGTAGTAAATTCTTTGAGTGATTCCGCTAAACAAACTTGAATGTATGTATGCTAGAATAGCATACAGCCCAAATAAGGCTATAGAGACCTGATTTGCAAACAATGCAACAAAGAAACAGATACAAATGTGAGGCATTGTATCATAGGAGGTAAACAATGTATGAACAACCCACATATATTCAGATTTTTCAGAAGAATACGACAATACATTCAGCAAGAAACCCTTACAAAGTAGCACACAAAACAAGATTGTTGGAATGGGCATCATCAAAAAGATGGGGGAAAACACAATAAGCCCATGAGGCTGCAGTGTTTTCTGGGTTCGAAGGAAATAGATAAGTCAGACTCAGAATGAATTGAAAACAATTGATATGGATTTATGTAGTAGTCTTATATCAAGAGTACTAAGTCATACGTTGCAAGTCATGATTAAAAAATTCAAAGGAGTTGGTTCATTGATTTTCAATGGCAACATTCATACACATTTTATATAATTTAATAGTAGTAATGGATAAAAAAAACTTGAGTTCTCATGATTTGATATTTGCAACTTCTAACTTACGAACCTCCAATCTGTTCAACTAGGTTATTTAACGAGGTGGGAGATCATCATGAAAAATGAGAAATAAAATGTTTTTTTACACTTGTATTTGTAACTAACAATACTGCAGTTTCCTCCTATATGGACATTTTCAAACGAATACAATAATTTGTTTGAAAACGTTCTTATAGAACGAAATTGCAGTAACGTTAGTTACAAATACAAGTGGTAAAAAAACATTGAAAGTTTCATTTCTCATTTTTCGTAACTATATAAGTATATAATATTCGGACATTAGTTCAAAGTTGAACAGTCCTCAATAACTCACCAGACTCATTTTGTGGAACATATTCAACTCTTGCTAAGTTTGCAGAATCAAAATCATTAAAAAATGTGAATTGAGCACAGACGATTCCTTCCATAATATATGCGCCCTCAGATCAGTTCTTCAAGTGTTCATAATTTGTTAGATAATGAAAATGTGCCAACCTTGTAAAACATCCCTTCTTGAGTTAAACCAATAATTTTTTCGAAAAAGAATAATTTTATGAGAAGGAATTAAAACGTTTAAACCTTCATGAAAGTAGATACATTTCAACAATTCAATAAAAATTATGAAGACAGTAAATGTAAACAAAATTTGACACCTGTCTAAATAAATCTAATTTCAGGGTATTTTCGTACTAGAATTCAGAAAATTTAATAATACTTCAGTGATTGGGATGTTTTTGTCTGTGCGCATGCTCCATACATCAAGGCTCAATTTCTAGGAGCATGCGATGACTTTCAGAACTAAAAAAAGTTCTAAGCCGTACAGTTGCCAGTGGAATGAATGCATTCGTGGCAATGAACTTACTTCCTGTTTCTTCTTTTGGTACAATACACGTAATAGAAACATTCACTAAACTTTTTGATTTGTTGAATTCGTGTTCTTTACGACATTCCTATAAATACAAAAACGTTTCAGAAGGTTCAAAATTCCAATTAGAAACATTCACTAAACTTTTTGATTTGTTGAATTCATGTTCTTTACGACATCCCTATAAATACAAAAACGTTTCAGAAGGTTCGAAATTCCAATTAGATTTTTTGAAGAGGCTCTAACGTTCTTGAAAAATCTTGAAATTTTCAATTCAGAGGACAAAAATGTCACAAATCGAGTCAGATTTAGAAAATGTCGGATTATTTCCATGAATAGTGTAATTGAAATATGGGATAAGCTTTCCAAATCAAATTATAAATATTTGAAAACGAGACGACTACATTCAGATTGTCTTGAAAAATTTTTTGGTGCTAGTGGTGGTGATGTTAATCCGACCCCCATACAATTTCAAAGGACATTGCGGAAGTTGTTTTGCCAAAATTATTTTCATTCCAATCATATGAATTGTAAGAATGATTTAGATGATTTATTAATCAGTATACAATCCACAAACATAAATGATATATTTATATCAGATGAGAATCACCTTTCTCCAGTCTTTGCCCTTCCGGATTATGAGTATAAAAATGAAGATGTATGTACTCAGAATCCATTCATTTACGTTTGTTGATACATTTAAAAAAATCTCTTCAAGTTCATACATGTTATGTGTGTCACTCTTTCAGCACTTAGTGCAGGACTTTGGATGTAAATCGTCTGTTAAGCTATTTTAAAGCTTATACTACGGAAAAAAACATGTTTGGAAATTTGCGCTCACCACCAGATGAATTCATTAATTTTATATATCAGTTGGAATGTTTATTTAACAATCGATTTACAGAAATTTCTACTGGGGGAGCAGTTTCGAATATATTATTCAACCTAATGAAGGATGTAGATTTTCTTCATCCTTGTGAAAATTTTCCAAAAAT